CGTTTTGCTTTGCAAACTTGCCGTTGGAAGAGGCAGAAATCCCAGAGAGGATGCGGCACTCCATTTTTTTTTAAACGATTGACCTTTACGAAAGTTTAATATAAAACGGAAATATAATTAGGCTTAGACTGTGGCAGCTCTGTTGTGTGTTTGCGGGGAGGAGGCTGTAGCAGACCAGTGGCAAATTAAAGCTGCTCAGTGCCAGAATCATGCAGAATTTTACACAGACATATTATTCCTTAAATTTCCTTTACAGTGATCCAGCTTTTTGTGCTTTTCCGTTTACACCTTCAGACATTATGTTGCCCAGCTGAAGACCAGATCAGACTTTAGACACTGTACAGACTTGAGCTAGTATATTGTTTAGTATATTAGAGCTGTTTTCAGTAGTATATAAGAGGAGCCTTACAAAGGCTCTAAACTTGTAAGAGAAAGCTTGTGGGTTCACATCCCAGGTAGGGCACAGGAGCACTGCGATTGAACCCTTCAGCAAGGTAATGTAATCAGATTGCTTCTCTAAAATATCTGGCTCTATAAACAGGCACAAATGTAAGTTGCTTGTTTTCTTATTCAGTATTAATTGTATTCAGCATTCAAAATAATCAGTCTAATAATATTAAATGACCTATCATTTGAACCAATTTTGCAACTAAGGTTTTAAGGATGGGGAGTGTTTAAGTGTGATGTTCAGTATAAATCTCAAAAGACTTTGTGTTGTACACGTGTCTCAGCTGCTCCTAGCATCCTTTATCTGGTCAATAAACACTTCTGAAAAAGAACACGCTGAAAGGACAGCTTAATGCTTTTCAATCATCAAGGTCTATAAAACTAAATATGCAAATTGAACAATTGGATATAACAGGTTATTTAATACTGTGGCCTTAGAAAAAAACTATCAATACTATGAATTTCCATTATCTTGAGTGAAACACCAGCCATGATGTCTAAAACATGTGAGTAAGCCAACAGTTTTTCTGGTAGAGAACAACCGTAACTCCTGAAATATCAGACAATGCTATTTAACCGTTTTAACTTCTAAGGAAGGTAAAAAGTGTATTTTCTGTTAAAACTTGCTAGATCAAAAACATGAGCGACAGACATCACATCATGCTCGGAGAGGCCCAGTGTCTTTCTGTCTTTCTGTGCCCAGACAGCCTATCAGGCCTCCCGTTTCCAAAAACGCGTAACAGGCTGATGTCATTATATTGCACTAGAGCATCTGTGCTTGGAATGTGTTCACAGCTTCCATTTTATTATGATGCATCTCATAAACCAATAATTCCTCTCTCTTAATAATCTCCGACACTCTCCAATTCAAAGGAACAATGCGGCCACAGCCTTTTAAGATTCAAAGGATCTTTTAAAAACCAAAGCTCCTCATAAACACAGATGATGCAATTCTGTTTGCGTGATTTTATAGCCTTGACATAACAGAGGGCTCTCTATCAGCCAGTCTCCCCAGAAGATGATGTCAGTGATGCCAAGTTTTCACAGCTCTGACATGAGCACACCGTGTTCACTGTATTGCGTACTCCTCAAGGCGTTTCCAGCACAAACCAGCTTTGCCCTTTCACCCTCGGATATAAGATTTTCACAAGTCCAGAACCAGCATCCCATCTCCACTACGTGTCCAAACCGGGCGCTTTGACCACATGCTTGTCTAAACTGCTGGATTCTTTCTCAATAAGACAATTGCCTAAATTCATAAAGCAAAGCCCATGCCATGCAGCTAATTTAGGACAACATTGTGTATACAGCACAATTAATTACCTTGCAAGATGTTTCCGTCTACTGACTTTTTAATTTTTCTATTACTCTACTAGGAAATGTGCCTCCTTAATAAAAAAGGTAATTACTCCCCTCTACCAGAACAGAACTAGTTATAGGTTGGAAACATTTTTTTTGTTTCAATACGAGGCACGTTAAAATGTTCCATTAGATACCATCAAATTATTAAGATTATGAAATGTTTTACTGAAGTGAATCATTTCAGTTCAATGAATCGTTTGAGTTCCAATGAATTTCATAAAGGTAATGAACAAAAAAAATGATGTACAGTATAAAAGTGTCAGTCGTTATGCCTTTTTTAAATAATGGGGTCTTCAGAGTTACATCCTCACTCCACACATCACCAAGACTAAGGCACTAAGATGCTGTAGGTGATGTGCTGGGACAGTTGAGGAAATAGAACAAGGAGAGATGCTCAAGGGATATGATTTGTCACCCGTGAGGCAAGCTTACAAAAGACACGGCAGAGAGATAGTTATATATACCCAGCGCAGACACCAAAGAGCCAAAATAAAAACTCATCCATCAGGGGAATAATTACAGTACCTGAGTGATTTCTTCAGTGTAAGAGATGACAGTGTAGCTCTGAGTCCCTTCTGAAGGTAAGATCTGCGACAGACCCCTCTCTGGGCACAGAGCACCCTGCTGAGGCTCAGAGCAGAGCGCACTTGGACGGCATCTCAGACTTCTCTGGCTCTCTGTCGTAACCACTAGACCAAATTGCCTCATTAAATATCAGCTTTAAGAGCTGTTTGGTTTGTAGTGAACTGTGGACTAGTATTTTAAACCCCAAAAATCAGTGAGAATAAACTGAAATTGATAGCAGGATTTTATTAATTATTTTGGACGTGGGCTGATTATAGGTTGGGTTGGCAGGAACAATTTGTTCTGATTTTTTTTCTTAAATTGGGCCTTGGCTTTTCCTCTGGCTACATGAGGTGTGACTTTAGGCTGGGGGGGGTCATAATCTCTCATCTCAAATGGAGCTCTGAATTTTTTCACACCTTTGAAAGACGGAGGAAATGGCAGCTACTCACACATCCTATGAATCTAATAAGCCGGTCGTAATTAGGGTTACAACACTTGGGACTTGTAAAAACTCCGGAGCCTGCGATGTGTCAGCAGACAAGCCATGACTGTGGTATCTAGCATTACTTCAGCACCACATGCTGCTGAATTACATCACCCAGCAGCTGGTCACTGTTTCAAAACTGAATGAGCAGCAAGAATGCACTGCAGGTTATGCAAACGCCATGACACTGTACAGCTCTAGAATCACATATGAAGAAGACCACAGACTGGAAGAAAGAAGAGACTTTCAGTGACTTTCAAAGCAGAAGGAGAGCAATCTACACTTCTTTGATTGCTTTTTTTTCTTTCTCTCCTGCATATTCCTTTGTTCAACTTTTTAATTCAAGTCTGTGTTGTCATCTCTTCTTCAATCCTTATAAAACACAAGAAAGGAACACATCCGGCTCTTCTGGTTGCATAATAGTTAAATGATCATAAATTGTAAGCTACCTGCTTGTTAAAGGAGCTTGGTCTTAACCACCATTAAGCCATTTTTCATCTCTCTAACCCTTTAGGATTTCATATACTATATTTGGATCAAATCTCCATTTAGTCTCCTCTGTTCTAGACTAAAGAGACTTAACTCCTTTAATCTGTCTGTGTACAACAAGCCTCTAAGGATTGTTGGTCTTGTATTTCTATGGGTGATGACTACAGACCGACTACAAAATTGTAAATGATGTCTTATAAGTACGTAGCAAAACTTGAACATTATTGTCCTCCGATTTAAATTCCACATCTACCCTACACACTGAAACATTCAGTCTGCTTTTCTAATGCTTCCCCACATTGTACTGAGGACATAGAAGAACCTACATCTACACCGAGATCCCTTTCTCGAACAGCTTCCTGCAGCTGAAAGGCACCCGCCTGACATGTACAGCATGTGATCCCACTTCCCGCATGAATCACATTGTAGCTGTCAGCATTAAGTGCCAGAACAGCAAGCAACAACACCTTCTGAAAATACCCCTCACGGCTGGCTTCCTGGACGTAGAGAAACATTCTGCACAAAGAAAGCAAGTTCTCTGAAAATCCGAGGGTGTGCGCTGAGGAAGTCGATTAGTGTTGTGCAAAAGCTCAAGATAATTTCTCTCTGGAGAAATCTTCTTTTATGTGAATCTAATTAGCTTCACCCTACTGATGCCCTTTGTCATTTTTTATTCCCCACACAGGCTGTTTCTACTGGAACAGAACATCTGAATTGGAGGAAGAGAAGTGTGGCAAAGAAGGAACTAGATAAAACTGAAGTGCAGCTGCTTCTTTAAGGCTCACAGGACAGATAGCTGCAAACACTTGGGAGATAAAGCTTGGAGCTCTTTCACAGGACCACCCACAGAGCTGTGTTTACAAAGTTTTGTCTAAAATATCTTCAGTAGCACTCCTACTGAAAACCTCTAAATACACGGGAACAGGAGAAAGGAACTCAGCCCACAACAGTCCTCGCTCACCTGCTGTTAACATGCTTTTTCATAACGCATTCAGAATAATTCAAATGTGTTTTCATTCCTTTGGTCAACTTTATTCGCTTCACTAAATGAAGACAAGCCGTGTTTTATTAGTGATACGCATGAGGAATAAGTCTGTTTTCTGGAGCTTGTCCAGAGAGTTTCACCCCATTATAATGCATGCAATTTCCAAAGTTCTCCCTAATTTATAACAGCCTGCTGGCTAGCAGTTCTTTCTGTAATTCTCGTGTACAAGTTCCCAGCCTTCGGATCTTTGCTTCCCCACACTTCTGCAGGGATCTGTGCGGTGTGGACTGTGCTTTTAAACGGGGATGGCAGAGGATGCTCAAGGCTGCCAGCGAGAATGTCCTGTCCTGACCCAGTTCGGCACACGGGTGTGTCTGGCCAGGGTCACACCAAGGATGACTCAGAGGTGGTGCTGGGAAAAGAGCCCAGTATCTCCAGGCTCTTAGTCATCCTGTCCTGCTTTAACAAAGATACCAGTTATGAGGTTTAAGAGATTATTTTTTAACTCGCGTAGCTGCTGCAGATAGCAGACGTCCTAGTGCACTGAAAACGTATTTCTTATTCTAGACCTGGGGCGAGTTCTGAAGTGGTTCTGTCCTCCCTGTTACTTTCACAACATGGATTGTTGAGAAACTGATGTGCTGCAGATCCATCTTTCCCACTCACATGTTATGCTCTTGCTTGGCGTTGAAGAGTCCATCTTGAGAGGGGTTCTGTCATCGTTCGTGTTCCTCTCAATCCCATGGGGTACAGGAGGTTCCCTCGGCGTTGCTTCAGCATGGGATTGCTCGCAGTTTTCAAATGCCTCTTCTTCTGCAGGGCAACAGCAGTAAAAATGTTGAAGCGAAAAGAATGAGCAGCAGGAAACCCCTTCAAAAAAATGTATAAACAGAAGAACAGTGGTTCTTCTTTAAGATAATTTAGACAACTAATTAATCTACTGTACACCACGTCACCCCACTTGCTGTATTAAATTCCACGTTGTTATTCTGCTGTATTCTTTTTGGTATTCTCAATTAGGAAGATCCTGCAAATTGGACTAAACAGACTGTTGTCCGTTTAATGTAGTGCTCTGTTCAGAGGCACCAAAGAACTCCACATCTGGTGGGTAAAACAAAATAATTGGCGATTCAAAAGGTATACAAGAAAGAATGCCATATTACACCATGATAAATGTTTCAGAGGCATGTTTAAAATATCACAGCACAGCATTTCCATGGTCTAGTGCAGCAAAGTACGAAACACTATGGTAAAAAAAAAAACAGTAAATCTGTGACAAAAGCAGAAAGATATCATGGAAGTAAATTTTCATGTCGGGGCTGAATCATTCTGGATAAATATCTCCCTCAAGTGTGCTGGGAAAGATCACTGACATACTAATACTGCAGCTCCACCCCAGCCAAAAGCTGCTCTTTACCTGCATGGGTTCAAAAACACTGCAAACCAAAAACCTCGACAGAAACCCTGAACCTTCTAACCTAAAACCTAAAAAGAAAACCTGCTTGTGCAGAAAAGAACTGTCAGCAGCAGTCATCTTTCTTTCTCTGTTCTTCTGAAAGAGAGTGAAGGTACAGCACGGGCACAAAAGGGGCTGATCTCTTGCTCTGTATCTACTGAGAACAGGCAGCTGGACTGGGGTGGCCAGGAGTGTGGTCTTCATCTCAGCACTACAGAAACACAAGCGCTCTGTGTGTTTTACACATCCCTTCTGGAGTCAAACAGGCCCATTATACGCTGGCAATTACAAGAGCTTTCAGCCCTTCCTCAGACTGCCATGCCTGTACTTCAAAGTGCCAGGTTTTGACCTCAGAGAGGGGCACAGTGCTCAAGTTTCAGCAGCATGAAATGAAACACAGCTGCAGTTTATTTTCTGTCTTATAAACAAAAAACATCTAATGTGAAATGCTCCTCCGGGACCTGGTGAGGAAAGGAGTCCTGAGGAAGGAGAGAAAAGGCTAGCCCCCGTTTTGCTTCTTCATTACCTTTGAAATTCATATTGCTAAAGGATGTTGAGGCTGCCTGCCTGCCTGCTGTCAGAAGACTATAGGTGTGAGTCAGCCTGGCAGATGAGCTGGACAGAGGCTCAGTCACAATGTGGATGCCGATAACCAAAACACCCTTCCCACCCATGTAATTACCAAATTAAGTAATTTTGCACCCTGAATAATTTTCTTGGGTGACGCAGTGGTTAGGATTAATGCCTCGCAGCGCTGAGGCCCTGGATTCAGTTCCGGACCTGGGGTGCCATCTGTATGGAGTTTGAAAGTTCTTCCCATGATTGCATACAGTAGATTTCCTCTGGTTTCCCCCTACAGTCTAAAATCATGCTGATAGGTTAATTTGCTTCTGGGAAAACTGGCCCTGGTGTGAGTGTGCATGTGTGCCCTGCGATAAACTGGTGTTCCAGCCTTACGCCTCTTGCTTGCTGGGATAGACTCCAGCTCCCCCGTGGCCCTGAATTGGATGAAGCAGATAGAAAATGGATAGTTGGATAATTTTCTTCATTGCTACAAAAGGAGTTTTTCCCCGTCGCTGACTGTCTGCGGAACCCTCCCTCGCTCCTCCGCATCACTGTGGCAGAAGGAGAGCGAGGACAGTCCATCTGTCTCGCCTGCAGGAACGACTTCCAGGTTTCACCTCCGACCTACGCCAGTCTTTCAAGTGCCATTTGAGCCATTTTAAGAGGGCTGTAAACACTGCAGACACTGATGGTGTAATGAAGGCACACTACTACTCCAGCACACTGTCCCAGCATTTACTGCACATCTGGTGCCAGTATCAGTGCAACAGGCATCAAGACTACAGAGCCCAGGATTCAAGGCTGGAATGGATTAGCCAGTAGGAAGCCAAAAATGGCCTGAAAGGCAACTTCTACTTTTTTTTTTACATGGTAGAATCACCCACTGGATTTGTGTGGAGTCTGCATGTTCCCCTTTGTTTGCCTGGGTTTCCATTGGGTGCTCTAGTTTGTTCCCACAGTCCAAAGACACACTGGGAGGTTAACTGGAATCTGTGGAAACTGACCCTCGTGTTAGTGTGTGCGTGTTTCTGTCTGTGTCCTAAGACGTGGCCCTCCAGTCCTAAGCTCCAGTCGAACACAACCACGAGAACCAATTTCTGAGCCACTGGAGTTCGCACCAGGTGTGAGTCTTGCTGGCCCAGCAAGTCACTGGTCTTCCCAGTAGCTGGAAAGCCCTGGGGGCCGAGCCCTAGCCGTGTTTTGCCAAATGGAGAGCCAGCGTCATGGCTGGCTGGCAGTTCTTTCTGTAATTCTCGTGTATAAGTTTGCAGGCAGATCAGGAAATGCAGTGAATGCTGACAGATACAAACTGTTTACACATCATCTGTCACAAAATGAGGTTAATTTACTTTGAAGGATTGGGCTGTGGACTCAGGGCTGTAAATCTCTATGACTTCACACGGCCCTAACATTTTCTTGGTAACCTCTGTTACTGAATATGCCAATTAACAGCCTGCTGTCTACCAAACTAGCTGAACTTGAGTAGCTGGTCAGGGCCATTACGTGTACCTTTCTTTGAAAGGGAAAACCAAAAAACGCTTTCTTTTTGCTCTACTGCGAATTGCTGCACGGGACTTTTCAGGGCTTGGTTTGCCAGACAAACTAGCTCTCTTTAAGTATCCATTTCATGCCATTTCTTTAGTGGATTCCCCGAGTCTGTAGACTATATGACATTTTTGGCTGGGACTGTTACAAAAGAGATTCCAGAGAAGGTATCATGCTCCAACATCACATAGACCTCCAGCAAACGCAGACCAGACCCTGACAAGATATTTATCAAGAAATGCATAATAGCACATCACAGAGGCGTGCTTGGTATTGTCTTTGATCCGTCATCATACGGCTGTTGCTGTACCTGTCTTCTCAGATGGGGCATTGTTTAGGACAAGATTGTCTCGGGATTTTTGTCCCTCCTCTAGTCAGTAAACAGGATTAACAGAGAATGTAAGTATTTCCTCTCTTCGGGTTTCTTCTTCAACATGTGGAGCTCATTTGAAAAGGGAGCGTTTCACATGCTGTTTTCATTATGTCAATCAAAACGATTAAATCAGATATGAAAATTGCCTGAACTGGGTTGTTGTTTTTATTGCAATTTTTAAAAAACGGTCTGAATTAAAAAACTGGATTTAGACCCTGCAGAGGTTAGGGGTGGTGGGTTTAGACCTGTCAGATGGTACTTATTCAAATAAGGAGATGTTAGGATGAGAAAATGCCAGGATGGTGGCAATTAAATCTTGCGATGTTTCTTTTCGGGAGGGGGCTGGGTGTTCACTTGCCCATTTGCTCTGTGGTTCCTCCAAACTTCAAATTTAATACAGATGTGACTATGCTTGTGTTCCCTTCGCAGTGTGTATTTCTTTTTTGCTGTTGTTGTATTTCACCCACATTGGGAACCAGAATCTGTAACAACTGTCGAAAAACATCCCTGGAGTTTCGGAGTAATGCAACAGCATTTAGCAAAAACAACTCCACACTATGCAATTAAATTACAATAAAATGGGAATCATCATCTCTCCACCTCAACCATCTCTACGCACAGACACTCAGACTAGAAAACAGCAAGAAGGAATTACATTTGCTGTCAGATCACCTGCCTTCACTCAATATCAAACCATGTACTGCCAGACAGTCCTTCAAGTGGCAGCCGGGTGAGATTTCAGAATCAATTAGTGGCTAGCAGCCAAACGAGGAAGATGGACCAAATGCCCTCCTCTCATCTGCAAGATGTTCTACATTTGCGTACCTCTCCCTGGCCTGTGTGAGGCTCTGGAGAGCTGTCTCAAGGTACAGGTTGCCTGGGTATTTATGGGCTGCAGGTGTGCTCATAAATACCCAGGCAACAAGACACTGATCAAGAAAGCCACAGCTACATACCTTGAATAAACTGTTTCACTATTGTTTAAAAAAAGGAGATGATCTACTCTAAGCATGTCACCTTTGTGAACAGTCAAGGTTCAATTCAAGAGAAAAGTGGAACAAGATATGCAATGCTAATAGTGGTTCATTACCAACATCAGGGAAGCACACTGGCAACAATCACAGGTACAAGAACAATATGGAAAACAGGCTGTAACAATAATTGATCATACATTTCATATTTTAAATCACACTGTTGTGTTAATGAGGAAATTGTTTGTATTGGCGCAAACTACGAAAGTTGCTCTAGATAAAAGCACCTGTCAAACAAACAAGAAGAGTATTGAATGAGGCACATTTACTATAATTGCAGCACATTAAATCCTGCACATGCACATGCATGATGCACACAGCCAGCAAAGACAGTACAGTATTGTTGTATTTTGGAACATATCTGCACATACAGGATGATCAGACCACAAAAACGGCCAGCTCCTGAATGGTCAGAGCTGTGCCAGTACTTCAACCAAGAGGGATACAAAAGAGAGGTCTGGTATCAGGGAAGGGAACTGCAGATCCAGCAGTGTCTCAGTAGCAGATCGGTCTTAACTTAACAAAACTGTTGAATTACTGTGCTTCAGCCAGTTCTGACCAAACCCCAGGAGGCTTTTCAAAGAGGTGGATTGAATTTCAGAGGATTTTCACGTTTTTGGCAGAGTGGCAACTGGGTTTTTCAAGCAAAGGGGGAGGATCCAGTTTCCTGCTAAGATAATATCTTGCCTCTAGCAGCTCATAGCAGCCCTTCTGCATTAGGAAATGCATTCCTGTCACACTGAAAGTGAAGCTACCTTTAAAAGAGGCAGACATTCCTCTCACCAAGCGGTTTTCATAAGAAATAAAAAAAACTGCTCATTTATTTGCACATGGGGGTTTGTCA